AGCAATTTTTTCCCCTTCTTAAATATATTCGATATATATTATCTATATATATTATTAAATATAGAGCTGGCGGATGTTACTGCTGGGCCACTCTCTGTCATCTTTGAAAAATCATGGAGAACAGGAGAGGTGCCTGAGGACTGGAGGAAGGCCAACATCACTCCAGTCTTCAAAAAGGGCAAGAAGGAGGACCCTGGGAACTACAGACCAGTTAGTCTCACTTCTGTCCCTGGGAAGGTAACGGAGAGACTCATTCTAGATGTCATCTCCAAACAAGTTGAAGAGCGGGGGGTTATTGGAAGTGGGCAACATGGGTTTACCAAGGGTAAATCATGTTTGACCAATCTGATAGCCTTCTATGATGCTATAACCGGTTGGCTGGATGAGGGGAGGGCAGCAGATGTCATCTACCTTGACTTCAGCAAGGCTTTTGACACTGTCTCCCATAACATCCTCATTGGGAAACTGAGGCAGTATGGGCTGGATGAGGGGACAGTGAGGTGGATTGAGAACTTGCTATATGACAGGACTCAAAGGGTAATGAGCAGGTTCAAGTTGGAAGCCTGTAACCAGTGGTGTCCCCCAGGGGTCAATACTTGGTCCAGTCCTGTTCAATATATTCATCAGTGACCTGGATGAGGGGACAGAGTGTATCCTCAGCAAGTTTGCTGATGATACCAAACTGGGAGGGGTGGCTGACACCCCGGAGGGCTGTGCTGCCATCCAGCGGGACTTGGACAGGCTGGAGGGCTGGGCAAGGAAGAACCTCATGAGGTTCAACAGGGAAAAGTGTAGGGTCCTGCACCTGGGGAAGAAAAATGTCAGGCACCAGTACAGGTTAGGGGTGGACCTGCTGGAGGCAACTTCTGAAGAGAAAGATCTAGGGGTCCTGGTGGACAGCAAAATGACAATGAGCAAGCAGTGTGCTCTTGTGGCCAGGAAGGCCAACGGAATCCTGGGCTGCATAGGGAAGAGTGTGGCTAGTAGGTCAAGGGAAGTCATTCTCCCCCTCTACTCTGCACTGGTGAGGCCACAACTGGAATACTGCGTCCAGTTCTGGGCTCCCCAGTTCAAGAGGGACAGGGAACTACTGGAAAGAGTCCAGCGAAGGGCAACAAAGATGCTTCAAGGATTGGAGCATCTCCCTTATGAAGAGAGACTGAGAGAGCTGGGACTCTTTAGTCTGGAGAAGAGAAGGCTGAGGGGAGACCTTATTAATGCTTACAAGTATCGCGAGGGTGGGTTGAAGGAGGAGGGAGCTGGGCTCGTCTCAGTGGTTCCCAATGAGAGGACGAGGGGCAACGGGCACAAGTTGGAACATAAGAGGCTCCACTCAAATATGAGGAAAAACTTCAGAGTAAGGGTGACAGAGCCCTGGAAGAGGCTTCCCAGGGAGGTTGTGGAGTCCCCTTCTTTGGAGATTTTCAAGACCTGCCTGGATGCAGTCCTGAGTAACATGCTCTGACAAGCTCTAGGCAATCCTGCTTTGGCAGGGGAGTTGGACTAGACGATCTCTATGGTCCCTTCCAACTCTAAAAATTCAGTGAAAATTCAGTGAAATATTATCCCAGGAGTGCTACCGCCATTGCTGATGGGCTCAAGCCTTGGCCACTGGCAGGTCTATCTTGGAGCTAGCTGGCTTTGACTCTGTCAGACATGGTGGAAGCTTCTGGTGGCTTCTCAGAGAAGCCACCCCTTTAGCCACCCTGCTACCACAACCTTGCCACACAAACCCAATACAAATAGTCTTGGCATTTTCAAATGAATACTATTATTTATATGTACACAAAATTATTTTAATATTTTCTAATGTACAAAGTGTCATTAAAAGAAGTCAAACAATATAAAAACTTCTGGTCAATAGCAAGTTATGACTTGTGACCTACAAAAATGAAGCAATTAGATAATATCCCCCATCTGAGCTCTCTTCTTCTTCCTAGTAGTAACTGTCAGCTAGATATATTTCATGATTAATCAGTGCTTATTCCTTTAAATGTCAGCTGCTTATGTCTAAAATGTCAAGCTAAAACTTTTTGTCTTGTAGTCTATTTGAAGAAGAGCTTAAAGAAATTTAAAATATAAGTTCTAAGATTAAAAATTAAAGAGTACTATCTACATGTTTTAGAACATGCATTGACTTGAGAAGACCATATTGTTTATCATGCCCAGATGGGGAAATCCTCTTGTTCTGATGGAAATAATGTAATTCTAAATTTTGCAACTTTCTTACATAATATATATGATGCTTTTTTTTTAAAATAAATTATATATCTGCCATAGCTCTTTTCTTTTTTTGAGGGATGATGATATATCAGAGGAAAGAAAAGAAAGAACAGATTATTAAGTAGCCAGGAGACATGGCTATAGAAATAGAGCATCTGAATTACCCAAGGTAGAGTATTTCATAGGCATTTAAATGAACCTGAAAGTGAGAGTAATAACTGAATTTATTTTGAAGTTTAACATGGTTATCTTTTATCTCAAATTCTGTCTTGTAGTACTTTCAAATGACAGCCCTTGCTATTCTACTGAAGAGAGTTTCAGCCTTTCTCAGACAAATTGATGTCCTGCCATAGTACTTTTGCTTTACTACCTTCTAGTGCATCCAATAAAGCTGGATCCAACTGACATTTCAAGAGCCCCCGATCTCTACTTTTTTTCTGCACACAATGTCACTTGCCGTAGATTGTATCTTAATGAAGTAGGATATTAGAGCAGTGCTTTGCTAGGTAAAATATTACCTGTTTTTCATCCCTATGCAGTAAATATACAATACATTATTTGTAATAGTCAAAGGTGAACAAACAGTAGACAAGCAACAGAAGGAGTATGGAGATAAGGAGTGAGAAATGAGACCAAGAATGGTGTGGTGGAAATGGGTAAAAGAGAGGTAGGTGTTGTGTCTGGCTGTAGGAAGTTTGAACTGGGTTTTATGATTTTTCTTGGTGCTGCTGAATGCAGCATCTGTGAGGCAATGATCGTAAATGAAATAGTGGTCATAAAATGAAAAAGGAGACTAGACGTAAGGAAAACATTCTTCACTATGGCAACAGGCTGGTGAGAAAGGCCACGTAGTCTCTCTTCTTGGTGTTTTTCAAGATAGTACTCAACAAATCCCTGAGCAATCTGATCTGAACAGGGTCTGTTGACCCTGTGTTGATGAGGAGGTTGGTCAAGATGACCTTCTGTAGTCCTTTCCAACCTGAATTATTATCTTTCCACTTTTGAGCCACTAACGCAAGACAATATTACTTTTCTGTGTAGCATATACTTTTGTAACCTTATTAGAAAATAGGTTACCCCTCTGCTTCTTTTCTGCTTCATAGAATATACTATAGTAGTGCTTCCTCAAAAGAAAACTTGGCAAAACTACAGAGAAAATACATGATTTTCAACAAATGCCCTTAATGTTTACAAAGTCAATGTTAAGAGCTGCCAAAATATAATTTACTCAAGTAAACTTAATTCACAGGTTTTGTGTTGAATCGCATTCTTATTACATGATTATGTGCTAGGTTTTCCAGTGGGATGAGCATCTTACTCCATATATAAAGTGGATAGGTTCAGAGAAGCTTATTAATGGTTATATATGAGTGAATATATTGCACCAAAACGTTTTTTATGAAAAGACTTGAATGCCATGGAAGAGAGTAATATTATATGCATGGTTTTACAACAGGGTTCTTGTATGATATTGTACAGATAAGTCCTCTAAATAAAAGTATTCACATGTAACCAGAAATTGTATTGCATATGTAAATAACCTGACAAGGTACAGTATAGATTGAGAGCTGTACTTGCTGTGTACTTGTGGCTATAAAGTGGAATGATCTGAAGAATGCAAACAATATCTGGAATTTTTTTAGACGTATCCTACCACCAATTCATTCTGTAAGTAAGGATGAATAACTTTGTATCAGGGGACTCTTCAGTTCTTAATGGTGTTAATTCCAGTACAATGTTTGTTATCAGGGGATTTTGTTACGTTCAGTAATTTGTGTAAGGCAGTTAGGTATTGCTAAAGATCAAAGCCCAAGAATATTAATAAATCTCTATTTTTTTCCAAATAATTTGTATTTGAAGACAAACGCATATTGTCATAGAATCAAAGAATGTCTGAGACAGGAAGGCATCTCTGGAGACTACCTAGTCCAACCCCCTGCTCAGAGCAGGGTCAGACACAGCCGGTGTCTTGGGACCATGTTTAGCTGGGGTTTGAATATCTTCAAGGATGGAGACTCCATGGTCTCCTGGGCTACTTGTTCTGCTGTTTAGTCACCCTCTCAGTAAAAAAGGTTTTTCCTTTTCCTGTATTTCCATTTGTGCCCATTGCCTCTTGCCCTGTCACTGGGAACCACCGAGAAGATTCTGGCTCTATTAGTACTCACCTCTATCAGGTATACGCATGGCTAGGATTCCTGGAGCCTTCTCTACTCAAGCGTGAATTGCTGTCTAATTTTCAATTTCTTGTCCACCAGGACCCCTGGGCCCTCTCTGCAGAGCTGCTTTACAGCCAATCAGCACCCATCCTACACTGGTGCATTCCTGCCCAAGTCCAAGATCATCATGGAATCATTGAATCTTTGCTTCATACCCAAAGTGCCAGAGAGTAGTGAGAGCTGGCTGGTCCCTAAGGGACAGCAAGCCAGGAGCAAAGCACATGAAGACAGCCATCAGGGCAGGGGCCTCATCAGCCAGGACCCATACCACACCACCTCACTGAGGGAGCAGGCAGCTCTGGGGGTGTCAGCCATGCTGAGCCAGGGGTCCAGGTCATCAGACATACAGAAATGGCCAGAAAAGTTAATTGCTCTTATAGATGGTAACATTGATTAACCTTTTGTTAATCCTAAGTAAAATAAAAAACAAATATGAATGTACTTTAACAATTGAAAACAAACAAACCAAAAACCAAAAACCAAAAAAAAGTTATTTAAACAAGAGATTTTGACATGACATTATTTGTGCAGGTTGAGTAATGTAATTTGTATTTTTAACAGTACAGCCTCAAATAATACAACTTAAAAATGAAACCACATTTGAGAATGGGAAAGCCACCCTCATCTGTGAAGCAGAAGGAGAACCTGTTCCAGAGATTACTTGGAAAAGGGCCACTGATGGAATAACTTTCTCTGAAGGTGACAAGGTAAATCAGCCTTTAATGTCTAAAATATCTAAATATGTATTGTCTGGCAAATCTTTTTGTAAGCAAAAAATTAATTTAGATATAGATTAATTCTAGATTTCTCTGAAATTGGAACAAATTGCTATTTTCAAAGGTAATGAGAGAGATGTGGAGATTCTAAATTTTAAATTAAAACAAACAAACAAAAAAGCAATTAAAGTGCTGAAAGGTAAGACGAAAGGTAATTAATCTCATTAGGCCTAGATTTTTATACATAATCCATGTGGGTTTGAATTTCATCTTGATCATAGTAACTGTGCATAGCCCTTCTTGACTATATTTGAACTCTGTCCAGTATTTCTCAAAATGCTGTAAAGCTTATAGAAATCTGAAATAAAAAATTCTGAATAATTTGGAGTTCTTTATTTCCCATTTCTTTTTTTTTATATTTTTTATATTTTTTTCAGACAGAGCAAGTAACTACAAACTGAGCCTATTTCCCCATTTTGTTCTCCCATTTTAAAGTTTTATTTCAAAAGTAAGTTGAGTAGAGAAAGATTACAGTTTGACAATGAAGAAAGTAAGTTATTGTGGGAACAAGAGCTGTAAATAGATGAAGTGATGAAAGCAAAAGGGAATGGTGTAATGTTATTCCTAACCATGCAGATATCAAGTTGTTTCTGCAGACCTGTTTTTCTTTTTCCTTTTTAGAAATAATTTTCTTTCAGTATTTGAATAAGTATTTTCTTCTTGATTTCCTTAAATAAACTAGAGAACTTCTCTGTGCTGGTTAAAGTATGAGCTACTATCTGTCTGGCTAGCTAATTCAGAATTTTTACTCCAGATAATCAAATAGCAAAATACAGTCTTCTTCCAGATGTTTGCATTAAGCTGTTTCTTAATAAAGCAATTGACAAAATGACGTAGTATCATGCCACTGAGAGAATTAGATAGATACTAAGTCACTCAGTTTATAGGGAATTACTGTAAATTAAGGAATTATGTACTTCCATTATTTGTGTTCTGAAGGAGAATGTCTAGTCTGGTCTGGTTTCTGACGTGATCTTTCTTGGAATTCAAGCAGGTTATGTGAGGCTCTGTCTACAGTTTTCCTGCTCTGTGATTTCCATTTGAGAGCAACATAACAATATTAATATAATTATTTTTTTTCAAATAGTTTTGCATTAAAACAAAGCAGTTCTGTCCTCCTTAATCTTTCAAGTCATTGGTCATCTTTCTGAACCACAAAGACTATGCTTAGTTCAAATGTTACAAATGCAGCCTTTCATTTATGTTTTGAATGTTCCTGAAATAACTTTGTTATATCAGAAATTGAAAATGAAATCTCAGAAACAAGCTAAAAAATGTTGGTGCAACTGAAACCTGAAATTTATCCAGTTATATTACTGTAGCATTTTATGAACTGTGGTTTAACTGAATAATACTGACAACCAAACTAAAACCTATATTCACTTCCTACCAGTGTGCTGACATGCCGTGTGTGGAAGATAAAAAGAATGAGATAAATGCAGTTATATGTTTTCCTTTTGTTGAAAGAACTCTATGTGTATTGCTCATGGGAGAGTTTTTGCTGAATATTAAATAAATGCTCTGAAATACTGTATATGTTCTTGAGCTATAAAATGTGCTGCTGCATTTTCCCTGTAGTCCTCCTTCAGCTCTAGGGTGCCAAATCCTTGGCTTGTGCTTTCCTACCAAATGAGGTGAATAGGGAATAAAACCAGCAGTGATAAAAATTATTGAAAAATTGTTGAATAATACAGCAATGTTTTGAACACAGAAAGAGAAGGAAAAGGTAAATTGAAGAAAATGGTGGTGGAGGAGGAGGGGGGGGTGCAACATAGTCTTAAATTGAAAATATTACTTACATGTGATAACTTTTGAAGTAATATTTTTGCATAAACATAAAAATTGTCATCTACATTCAGTGAATTCATCTTTTGAATTTTTTTACCAGTTTTAAAACTTTGATTTGGTATAGACTGCACTTTATTTAACATTTTTGTTGAATTAAGAATATCTTTAGGGGATTAATTTTTTCTGTAGAAGATGGAAGAACTGCTCTAACTATAATATTAACATGATGATGATGATTAAAAACCACAGAAAGTGTTATTCTTATTTTTAATCATAATTTTACTACTTTTAGCATGTAGCTTCTCAATCACCTTATTCTTGTTTTGCTAAAATGCAAGCATACCTCACGTGGATAAGGAAGAAGGCTTAATGTGAGATTGTTCTTAGCCTGCATAGATTCAAAATGTTTTCTTTAAAGTGATAGATCTTATAACCAGGACATAGGCTTTTCTGAGTTTTGAAATCATTATGTCCAAAAGAATGGAAAATATGCACCAGAGTCATAGATCAAAGAAATAACCCTGCTGGGCGTAAGGAGGATAATATTAATGAGTAAGAGGTCTATAATTATCTCTTAGAAAAATATAGCTTTGATAAAGGATTTTCAGTACATCAGAAGTGCGTATTTGAAAGTTGAAGCCAAGTGAGTTCAAACCAGAAGTGAAGAAGCCTTTTCCTCTCTCCTTTTATCAGTTAGCCTTTGGAATAGTCTACCACACAGAGTGTGGTCCCTCTTTCATTAAGAGTTTGAAATAAAGGGGTCTTTCCCCTTCCTCTGACCTCTCCTGAAAGTTTAAATTGAAAGTTTTCCTGGAGATCGTATTAGAAGACCTCTGTAATCCTTTTATGGCTTTATAACCCATAAATACATGAGAGTGGGTAGGCCTGAGTGGTGAATAAGTACACATGACAGAAGGTGTTTGGCTCACCCTTAAAGATTTAATATGGAAATGGAGGTTTATTGAAAGACCAGAGTTTCATCTGCTGTTTCAGTGTCAAGCCAAAACTCTCTGCTTGGTGCACGTCCTCTGCCTCTGTGCTTCTACTCCCCAACTCCCCAGCATTGCATGTCCTTTCACTAACATGCCAGCCTGGCCATGCTCCTTTCAGCTGTGATTCAAAATGGCATATTCCTACAGGCCTCTGTTCATCCAGCAGACCTGGCTCTTTTCCCAGTAAAAAGAGGAGGGGGGAGAAGAGTTGCTTTTTGTAGAACAGAAGGAAGGATAGTGGTTTGATTTGATTTGTTGTAACACTTATAAAATGGATTGTTGACATGCACATATATCTCACGTACATACTTGAAGGAGAGCATATACTGATTCTCTGATACAAAACCGTCATAGATTCCTGTGCAGATTGCAGAAGTGTGAAGGCAGATTTTCATGCTCTATTTTCCTAGTATCCAATTCTAGCAGAAATATGAAGGCTGACCAATGTAGTTTATAATTATCATTTCAAGCCCTGTTTTGGAATACAAATGACAATAACAGATGGGGCTTGATATGAGACAGTGGCTCCACTGTACGCAGCATGTGTCTAAAGGGACGATCTTTACCCTGAAGAATTTCTGATCTAAACATGTAAAATGAATGGAAGAAGTCAGCGTGGAGAGGTCACAGTCCAGCATCTGATATTCAGTTTTGATAATGCTTCATATGTGGAGTAACTAGTTAACAAAAAAACAAACCAAAACACAAAAAACTAACTTAATTAAAAGAAAGATAATTTGCTACTTGGGTGTTGGATTTAAGATATATGAAATTATACTCTATTTTGTATATATTTGATACTGATTCACCAAATGTCTTTGAAATACTTTACATTATTCTTCTTGTATCCACAAGTAAAAAAAATCTCTGATTTTTGACTTTATAATGAAGACTACAGAGATAGCTTGAGTTCTGCTCCTTCCATCTACTACCATTGCTATAATAATCTGGGTGTCCCTGTGAAATTTCCTATGACATTGTTTCTAAATATTGCAGAACTCAGACCAATAATTAATTTTTTTTCCAAGTTTGATTTCACTTTATATTGGCATGCAAATCATAACTATTTATAGAGTTTTTCATAGTTTCCATGATCAGGCAATAGGCAAAGGTAGAGGATTTGGAGTTTGTTTTGTCTTTTTCTTTGGAAGGTCAACTCTGCTTTTCCCCCAAGCCTCTTAGCTCCACTTCAGCTATTAAAAATGTTAATAAAAAGAATCTGAAATTTTTTGTACTCCATATATATGCTACTGTCACTGCTCAAAAAGAAGCAGTGTTAGTATCAGGGAATTGTATTGCCTTTGGAGACAGTAATGAGAGCTCTGTTACATTCTTGGTTGTCAAGGGTCATCTCTTTATTTGAAGTTAATCACCCAAAAAGAGGAAACGTAGATATATCTAGGGTATTTTAATTGATTCCAGGAGATTTCTTTCTTTCTCTGAGCTGTAAAAATCCCAGTCTTTGTAAATTAATCTCAGGAACTTTTCTCCTTTGAATAGTTGGGAAAGGGACAAGTCTCCTTGCCTTATTGAAGAAAATTGTTACAACCTGTTTCACCGACAAATTGTGTGAACAGCTTCTGCTTACAATATCATAGAATATTTTTGCTGTTGAGCACAGGCCTGCAGGACAGAACAGTTTATGCAGCCAGCTGCAATGGTGCTTGATTATGCAATTGAGACACTTTGCAAACAATTCAATCAGGCATCAAAGATTTTTTTTTTTTATTTTGTTTTTAATCCTAAAATGAATCATGATGGGCTTCATGTGTTAAGGCTATGAACTAGAAGAGTAAAAATATTGTGACTGGAAGGAGAAAGTAAATAAATGGACTTGAGAGTAAGTAGAAAGCAGGAGGGTGACCTTAATGTTAGGTAATTAGTGGTGTTGAAAATATACAGATTTATACCCTGTGACATATGCAAAACATGGAACAAATATGAGCACTGAATAGTGTAGTGTACTCTCACCAGTCATTGGATCCAAAGAAATCCGCATATTTTGGGGGGCTCCTTCATCTTCTCTATGTCATGTTCAGCTATGGTAATACGGAATTGGAACAAAATCGTCAGGTAATTAGAAGGAGCTAAAAGTAGAGCATACTGTTTTGGGAGGTGAAGGTATGTTAGTAGGAAGATTGAAATATCTAC